GGGATAGGCAAGGCTGCCCTTCCTGGCCTTGGGAGCGAGACTCTCTCGTCTCCGGCTGCCAGGTGGCCCCTTGCTGGCCCTTGGTGACAGCTCAGCAGGCCATGCAGTGTGGGGGAGAGCAGGACTGGACACTGCAGAACATGTGGCAGGCCAGATGCTGCTCGCTCAGAGTGGATGCCGGCCAGTGAGTGGCCACCCCTGCACAGGCCACCTGAGGCCAGCCGGGCGCAGTGCCCATCAGCCCGAGGCCCGGGACTCTGTGCTGTGTCAGCCCCCCGGGTCAGCTGCTCTCAGCAGGGACCTTGGGGCTCTGGGGCCCACTCTTCCTGTCTGATGAGTGCCTTATCAGACATGCCCGTGGCTTCCTGTGATCCTCTGGGGTCGAGGGTGGAACCGCTCTGGTCTTGCTGCCCAGCCAACCCAGTGCTCGAGGCTGCGAGGGCCGTTTTTCCTGCTGCAGCCTGGGGGCCGAGCTCTCTGGGAGGAGACGCCACGCCAGCCTCAGAGGCTCCGGCTCCCGGCGGAGGACACCCCGCCAGGCTCACTGCGGGGACAGAGCAGAGCCGAGTCCCAGACCAGCCCTCCTGTCTCAGAGCGTCTCAGAGCGTCCCAGAGCCTCCTCCACGTGGACGCACTCAGGGCCCCGTCCAGGGATGTCCCGCCCCTTCCTCCTCACTGCGGACCTCAGCCCAGGGCCGCCTGTGACACCAGGGCTGCTGTTGGGAGCCTCAGCCCCTCTGTGCCCAAGGCCTGGGACCCTCCCTGGGACTCGGGCGGGGAGGGGGCAGGCGCGGGCACACGTGGGCACGCGTGTCCAGGCGTGTCCAGCCTGGACCTGGGCCTGGAATGGCCGCAGTGGGTGGCCCATTGTCCGCTCGCTGGCTCAGGGACTCCCGGCCCTGTGTAGAGCTGGCAAATCGCCAGAGGCGCCGAGGTGAAAGCCTGGCTCCTAGCGCAGCGTTTCCTGTCTGCCCACGCTGAGGGTCCTGGGCAGCTCGATGCTGGCTCCGCTCTTCAGCCTGTACTGGGACTGGGGCAGACACGCGGGGGCTACAGAGGCACCAAGCGGGGCCGGTGCCCAAACGGCGGTCCCACTGGCTTCCCAGGGTGACGCGGGCCCCTGCTGCGGGCGGGGCTGTGCCACCAGATCACCAGCGAAGACCCCGGAACCGCCTGGTGCCCTCCCGCTGCCCTTCCTCCTGCTGTCCCTGACACCTGAGGCCCGTGGTCCCTTCTCATCTCAACATTCTGCCTTTTTTGTTCTTTTTTTGGTACTGGGGATCAAACTCGGGACATTACGTTTGCGAGCCAGGCAGTGGAACCACTGAGCTAAATCCCCGCCCCTATTCTGCCTTTTTGAGAAAAGTATAGAAGACAAAAGACTACAACAACACAACCAATAGCACGGAGAACAGAGGGCTGGAGGCAGGCTTTCCCTGGGCCCTGGTCCACCGTCTGTGTCTAGCTGTCGTCAGTGTATCGTCTGTCTCCTAGCCGTCTGTCCATCCATCCATCTCCTGTCGTCATCATCTACCTCTGTTATCTGTCGCTGTCGTCTAGTAAGTCCCCATCTACCCTCCTCACCAGCTGCCTGTCATCTTCCGTCCACCTGTGTACCCGCCCTCTCACAAGTCCCCCATCTGTGCATCATCCCTGTATCCCTCCTCTATCTCCCGCCCCGGTCTCTGCACTCAGAGTCCCTGCCAAGTGACTCTTTCCCTGGCTGCTGTGAAGGAAGCCACCTGGCCGTCCCAGGCCCCTTGATGTCCTGAGTCCCTGGCGCTGTGACTGCTGAGCACCAGGCTGGGCTCCGGACAGGGGCTCCCAGCAGTGGCCTCATCCCCAGTGCCCGTGTCCTTGCCCAGGGGCACTGTGTGGACTTGTCCCCTGGTGGGACCCAGTGCTTCGAGGACCAACCACGCAGGATGGATCCCCTGTGCGTCCCCCATGCAGGGAGGGTGTGGGAGGCAGGAAGTGAGGTCATAGGGCAGGAGGGGAGCTGCAGGGAGGCCCCGAGTGAGACCAGGGAGCAAGGGCAGAGGCACAGGGCCACAGGAGAAGCCGTGCCCGCTGTGCCCCCCTGAGCACGTGAGACGGGCCGGGAGGCTGGAGGGCCGGGCCCTAGACCTGGCGCTGTGAGGACTCCCTCCCCGGAGCCACCCGTGGCCATGCGGCTCTGCACCCAGGCTTGCGTGGGTTCGCACATGGCCCTCTGCACTGACCGTCCCCACGTTCTCGGCCACGGTGTCTCCATTTCTCTTGGATTTAATGACCCTTGGCTGTGCGCTCCCTTCCGTAAGCCGTCCCCAGCGCTGGACAGAGGCCAGGTTTGACCAAACAAATAAAGAACAATAGGGTCTTTGGTCTTAAACACTGTTCGATTTTGTGACAAGAACACAGGGAAGAAAAACCTCGGTCTAAATGCCAGGTGAGGCTTCAGTGCCACAGCTTGAAGCCACATCGAAGCTGTAACTCTCCACGGCTCAGGGCCGGGGCTTTCCCTGCTGACTGAGCCCTGGCCGTGGGGGCTCCCCTCAGCGGTCGGCCCTTCTTAGGGCACGGCCCGTCCTTAGGGTTCTGCGTTGCTGCTTTCCTTGCTCCTCACACGCGTCCTCGAGTGGAGCCGGGTCAGGTGCTCTGTGCTCTGGGAGGCGTGCGTGTCCCTGCCTGGCCGCCCACCCGCCCTGTGGCTCCTGGAGAGGACAGGGCCCTTCGCATCTGAAGTCATGGGGCTGAGTGACCTCAAGTCTCTGATGTGCGGTGGGGAGCCAGCGACCTGCTAGGAAAACGTGATCCCCAGGCGAGGGGCGGAGGGACAAGGCCAGATGTCATCGCCTTAGTCAACTTCCAGGGGTCACGGCGGCCTCTGAGGGCAGACAGCGCTGGGTCGTGGGTTAAACGACCTCGCTCAGGCGCCATTGGAACACAATGGCACAGAGCACATGGGTGACAGTCACTGCTGCTGTCAGAGGGGTGCCAAGGCACTCAGGGTCACCTGGCAGCCTGGCCACAGGGCCAGGGAGTGCTGGCACGGCTGAGGCCCAGCTCTGCATCCCTTCCGCAGAGGCAGCTCATGGCAAACACAGGTGACCGCGTCAGACCAGTGAGCATGTGGGAGCAAGACACAGTCGTAACTCATTAATTTTGTACTCAGTGTAAAAAGGGGAGGCCAGAAACAAGCCCTAATGTGACAGTAAAATGAAAATATTTTGAGTAGGCAATGAGCAGAAATTATCTCCCATGCTACTCTTCATTACCATGGCGGGTATTAACCAGGCGACACTGACTTGCTGCGATCTGGTGCCAGACTCCTCGCTTTCCAGTAAACACAGAGACACCTCAGAAGGTCCCAAGGCCTTCCAGAAGGGTCCGGGGTACCCTTCTGGGCTGAGCCACCCTCGATGACTGGGAGCGTCCACTGGCGGGCGGCCCTGTCCCAGGGAGCAGGTGGGAGTGGTGCCTGCCAGCGTTTCTAGGTGTGGCGTGGGGTGCATCTCACACGAGCACGGTCCCTGCTGGGGACCGGGTCAGCCCTGCGCTGCACGGGAGCTACGGCTTCGGGGACAGCAAGTCCTGGGCTGGGCGTTGTGCGGAGAACACTGGCCGTCCTGGTCAGAGCTCCTGTGAGCAGGGACTTTGAGTCCCTGGGCACCCGGTGGGCATCGAAAGCAGAGCCGGGCCTCTCGGTGACAGCTTGCTCCGACCCCGCGGGCTCGTGGGCCTGAGTATGCCCCAAGCTGCTCGATGGTGGCCCCTCGAGGGCAGGGTGGCGAAAGCGGGTGCTGCCGTGTGCCCTTGGGCCCCTCGGGCCCTGCTGCCGCTCTCCAGCCTCTGTCCCTCCTGCCTTCTGGCCCTGACCACTGGAGCAGCCTTCGCGTGCGCTGCCCCGGGATGGCCCCGTCCTCCCCGCTGCTGTGCTGGTGAGAAGGTCCTGAGGGCAGGCGCTCGCCAGACGCCTCACACCTCGGGTGCCGAGAGCGGCCAGGCACCAAGGAGTCGGGGCCAGGAGGGGCAGGCAGGGACACCCACACAGCCAGAAGGAAGGAAGGCTGGACCTCTCAGGGCTCCCGTCGACCTCCCATGTTGCCCACTGACCTTGTCCTCTGGAGCCAAGGTTGAGGCATGGGGGCCCCCGTTCCTGACTCGGGTCTTCCCAAGCCTTGCGTGGGGTGCATGCTCCCCCACTGCTGATGCCGGCAGCTCGCACAGGGATCCTGCGCCTGGCTGGATGCCCCCTGGCGACCGGAACCCTCTGCCCGTGCAGTATGGGGCGTGGACTCTGGGGTCCCCTGGGCTGGGCGCAGCGTCCTTAACACAGACCCGCCCTGCCAGTGACCCTGCAGCCCAGGGGGCGCCTGCTGTGGACAGCGCCCTGGGGTGGGCGGGTGGCTCTGTGACACTGGGCAGGAGCGGGACGCGGCTGGGTGCCAGTGCCCTGGGGCTGCAGCCCAGGAGCAGCCTGTGCGGGAGCCGGGCCAGCCCAGCCGATCCCAGAGGGGACCCGGCACGGCTGCGGCCTCCAGGTCTTTGTCTGCTCCTCCTTCACCTGCTCGCCCGAGGGCCAGTGAGCCCTGGAAGCCGACATTCCTGCCGCGTGCGTGCCGGGGGGAGACAGAGCCAGACAAGTAATATGCGCCGCGCTGTGGCCCAGTGCTGCGGGAGACAAGAGGCGAGGGCCCGAGAGGCAGGTGGCACTGCTCTGAACAGCCGGGGGGCAGGGTCTCTCATCTGAGCACAGCCCGGCAGGAGAAGCCCTGTGGTTTTCTTGGGGAGCCCAGCAGATGCAAAGGCCCTGGGGTGGGGCCTGGTCTGTGGGCTGTGGTGGCAGAGGAGAGAGAGGTGGCATGAGACAGCCAAGGGCCCGGCCCTCTCCGACCACGCAGGGTAGAGGTAGAAAGTTGATGTAGCGCCCTGTGGCAGCCAGAGGTGTCCCATTTCAGGGCCGGGCCCTGGGCTTCCCCAGCTGCGTCATGAGGTATGTCTGTTTCCTTCCCTTTCAGACTGGTAAGCAGCACATCGATGCCACCAACGGCAGCAACCATGTCTTCCTGTACTGCGCCTTCCTGGACTTCAGGTACTGTCGTGTGGGAGGCGCCAGGGTGGAGCCGGGCAGGGGCAGAGGGAGGGCAGTGGGGAGCAGTCACGTAACATCGGAGGAGGGCCACGTGGCCACCTGGTCCCGTGGGCTGGAAACACCCTCCACACAGGGCGGAGGGGCAGAGTGTGCCGGGGACGCCTCCTCTCCGACCCGGCGGACGGGGCTCCCTGTGGCGGGGACACTGCAGGATGGGGTGACCCTCAGCCCGTTCACCAGAGATGCAGGTGGAGGTCGCCGCTCAGCAGGGTCAGGGGCCGATGTCCCCAGTGTCCCCTCCTGCAGGAGGCTGAGGCCAGGGGCGGGGGGTTCTCGGGAAGCAGGGCTTTGCTGGCTGATGTGTCAGGGTCTTGATGTCCGTAACCAACACCCAGGAACTCAGACAACTCAACGGCAGCGAAACAAAACAAAACACCCAATTAGCTGAATAAGAAATGCACGGTGGACCTCAGCAGACGTTTGCTGAGGGAGAGGGACAGGGCCAGCACTGGACATCGAGGCGCCAGCCACTGCCCACAGCGAATGCCACCGACCACGCTGCAGTGGGGACGCGGCCCTGGAGAGGACACAGGGCCCCTGTGTCCTGGGGGGCGTGGAGAAGGGGCCGGCAGCTGGGGGTGTGGGTCACTAGCGCAGCCATGATGGAGTCAGACCCGGGCTTCCTCAGAGAACTGACGGTGGAGCTTTCCGTGACCAGCCCCACTCCGGGTGCAGACCAAGCACGAAGGAAGTCAGGAGCCAGCTGCACCCCGCGCAGCCCTCCTCAGCCGGAGGGGAGCGCCTGGGGCAGGAGTGGATGAGGAGCCTGTGAACGCGGGCCTGCAGCTTCCCCACCCGCTCCCTCACGGTGGTGCCTGTATACCTGCACATCCAGAGAGCCGCAGGCAGCACGGCCTGATCACGTGACGGCGGATAGGGTGGGGCGGGCCGGTGCGAAGACAGCAGACTGGCAGTGGGCGGCTCACTGTGGGCAGCGCCCTGGCTGCTCTGCCTTCCGCCGGACGGTGAACCCCTCTTTGGTCACGTCCAGGTAGGAGGATGGGGAAATCTGAATATTTTACCAGCTTCGCATTCCAGGATAAACTCTGCTTGGCTCTGGTGTATGGTCCTTTCTACTGTGCCGAATTTAAGTTGCTGGAATTACTGAGGATTTTTGTGCCTATGCCCGTGAAGGAAATTGGTCTGTAGTATTTTTTTTCTTTAACCTCTGTGGCTGTTGTAGAGAGGCGATGGTACCTGTGTGAAAGGTACACTTGGGAATGCCTTTGGGATAGATGGTATAGAATTCCTATTATTTCTTCCATAATATTTTCCATAATAAATTCACCAGTCAGCTATATGGGCCTTAGTTTTCATTGTTGGTAGGTTTGTAACTACACCTTCCATTTGTTTTATGGATTCAGGACTATTTAGGTCACCTGGTACCTTTTAAATGAGTCTTCGCAGTTGATGCATTTTTAAAGAATTTGTCCGTTATCAAAGTTGTTTAATTCACGAGCAGGCATAGAGTTGTTTGTCATATTCCTTTATTGACCTTTTTGTGTCTTTGGGTTGCAGTGGATTCTCGCATTCATTTTTATGTCTGTAATCTGTGTCTTCTCTCTTTTTTCTTAGTCACTCTTGTCGGGAACCTATTTTATTTATTATTTCAAGGAAACAACTTTTGGTGTTATTGATTTTTCTTTATTATGTTATAGATTTCATTGACTTATTGTCTTCATCTTTCATTTACTTCCAGAGGGGAGTTATTTACCACCTATAGGTTTAATTTGTCCTTCTTTTAAAATGTCTTAACATGAAGGGTTAGATAACTGATATGAGATCATTATTATTTTCGTTTAGTAATTTTGCATTTACATTAGTAAACGTTTAATGCCCTTATTTTCCCTGGAAGCACCAGTTTTGCTGCATCTCACAAATGTTGGTATGTCATTTTACCTTTATCAAATTCAAAATGTTTTCACATTTTCCTTGTGACTTTCGTTTCTACCTGTTTGTTATTTTGAGATGTGTTGCTTAATTTCCAAATAGCGATTTTTCCATGATCTTTCTGCTATGGACTTCTAATTTTTTATTACTTGAAAGCATACTTTCTGCAACTTCGATTTTAAAAAATTTGTTAGAAGTCATTAAATGACCCAGAATATGTTCAGTCTAGGTGACTATACCTTGTTCACTTGAAAAAATGAGTCCTTGATGGAGAATTCTATAGATGCCAGCGAGATCAAGCTAATGGATAATTATGTCCAGGTCTCCTATAGCCTTATTATTTTCCTGCCAGCTTGTTCTATCCATTAAGCTTGGCCTTTGTATCCTTGGTGTCTGAATTGATGGTTCAACAAACCATGGATGAAAAATATTTGGAAAGAAACATTGCATCTGTGTTGAACATGTGCAGGCTTCTTTTCTTGTCATTATTCCCCAGACAATACCGAAGAGCAGTGCTAATTTACGTAGCATTTACGTTGTATCACAAGTGGTGAAAGCAAGCGCAGAGCACCCGGGAGCCTGGGCATGGGTTAGAGGCGAGGCTGATGCCACTTCCCATGAGGGCTGTGAGCGTGCGCACATCCGTGTTCCTGTGACGCCCGAGAACTGGCCCGGGGTGACTGGAGGTGCATGGGCGAGCTGTCAAGGTGGTTCAGGTCCTTCTCCTTGCACTTTTGTGAGTTTCTCTGTACTGTCCTTGGTTCAGACTGGGTCTTGTTTTTTATCCAATAATGAAATTTCTGCTTTGGGTTGGTATGTTTAGACAATTGATGTTTAGTATTGACATGGTTGGATTAAAATCTATTTTGCTAGGTGCTTCCCAAGTTCTCTCTCTTTTCTGTATTTTTTATATCATCTTTTCTTGGATTCATTTGGGTGTTCAGGTAGTTTTATGGTGCTATTTTGTCTCCACTATTGACTTCTAATTTATACCTCTTCTTAATATTTCTGTGGTAGCTGCCTAAGCTTGTACTGTACATGTCCACTTGCACCGGGTCTGCCTGCAGCTAACATTGTATGGTCTCAAGTTACTCTAAGATGTTGCAGGGATACCTCCCTCCACAGTTCCCCTGCCCATTCCTTGGCTGCTGTGGTAACAATGCATCTTTGCTGGTGCCATAGATATACAGTAACAGTGGTGAGTGGAGCAATTACAAGTAAGACAGGACAACCAGCCTTTCACTTATTCCATTTCCAGCTATTTCATTTAGACCCAGGCTTCTGTCTGGTATCACAGTCCTCTGACCTTTCTTGTAAGGCAAGTCTGCTGGAAATGAATGTAGTTACTGTTTGTCTGAGGAAGTATTCTCTTTTATTTTGGAAGATATTTTCTCTGGGCTTGGATTCTGGGTCATTTTCTCTAGATTTATCCTCCAAGACACTACATGAAATACCTCAACATTATTCTTTTCGAAGTGACACATTGTTTAAAAAAGCAAATGCCCTCTGACCTTTACCCCTCGTCCTTTTCCTCCCTCCCTCTGGCAGGAGTCACAGGGCAGGGGGCCTTTTGTGTGTGTCATTTCAATAATTTCCATATCACTTATATTTATGCTGAGAGAAAATAATAGTTCTGTTTCATTTCGCATTTATTGCATCATTCCACCCCGTTTTGTTTTGTGTTCTGCCCCATTGATGAATGTTTCTTTTGTTGGATCTACATGCATCACACTGTGAATGCACTTGAGGGAATGTTTCCTGGCCTGTGCCTGCTCCTAGACCTCGCTGATTTTGCTGGGTTGCCTCTGGGCCGAGTGACTCCTGCAGGCCCAGGAGCTCCTTCCTGCTCCACCAGCTACCGTGGCCCGGGGCTGTACCCACATGGCAGCGTCACATTGTCACGGCGCCCCTGGAACATGCGACTTTCACAACTTCCGATGCCCCCTTAGAAGGGCTGTTCTTCACCTTCCTGAGCGTGCTCACTGGATTCACTGGCCGGCTTAGTGTGGCATTCCTGGTTCGGAGTGCGCACTCCTCTCTAGGTCTTGGGCAAAGTAGCCCAGGTCCCTTGCATGGTGCAGGGGCCCACGCCCATTTAGTGTCTCCTTATTCTGAAGTTGTCAGCGGGTGCGGCTCCTCAGCTGTGTCCGAGGCTCTGGCCTTGCCCTCTGTTAAATGCCTCCTGCCTCCCCACGGAAACCGCCCTGGCCACCACTGGCCACACAGGAATGGCCTGTCCACCTCACCAGGTCCCCCTTACACAGGGACACATGCTTCCCTGGGCATACACACCTCCCGTGTGCTCAGTCGAAAGACGTTGACAGCAAAGGTACAAGATGGGGTCCCTGGGCCACCCCAGCGACACGGCACCTCCTGCTGCATCCACGAGGCTTTTGGGTCACAGTGGCAGACTGAGGCTTTCGGCCACTGCTGGGTTATGAACGACTTCTGAGGGGCCCTGCCCTGGGCAGAAGCTGACTGGTCTTTGCCGATAGCTCAGTGCCGCAAGTTCTACAAAGAAGTGTGCCCGGCACCTTTTGGAATCTAAAATTGAAGTATAGACAAGAAAACTGTCCTGGCCAATAAAATCACCACCAGCACTAACCTGTGCACATCCAAGCACATTCGCTTCAGGCCACTTTCGTCTTGGTTTATACTTTAAGAAATTATACAAGTAACTCATGGATTCAAAACTAAAACATTCTAGGAAAAAGCAGACGCCCCATTGAACTGCACAGGTCACCTGGCTTCCTCCGCTTGGAGGTGAGCATGAGCAGCAGGCGTCCTGGTGATTCAGATGCCAGCTGTATTTACGTCCGGGAGATGTGATCCTGCTCTGTCTTGTATCTGCGTCACTGTGGGGCATTGTGCTCAGCACATTGCTGTCTCTGTCCTGGGCAGGGATCCTTTTAACGACGAGCAGTGTTTGATCATATCTCTGTGCACCACGTGGTGCTGGTCTGTTCTTATCACATCTGTGGATGCACACGGTACCTCCTGTCTGCCCCATGGACTGTGAGTTACTGTGGCTTGTGTCTAGCATCATTTGTGACTTGGCGAAGGCCCCATGCAGGGGCCTGAGCGCCTGGTTCGGGGTCTCCAGTACCCGCGGTGACGGGCCGGGTTGCACCTCCCCACGACCTTGCTGGCACCGGAGCTTCTGCCTCCTGCCGGCCCTCGGTGGCACCCGTGTAGTGCCACCTCCTCTGACCGGCTGTGCTGTGTCCTCAGCTCTGGTCAAGGTGTGTGGTCGAGCCGGGGCTGTGCGCGTGTGGAAGGAAACCTGACCTACTCTGTCTGCCGCTGTACCCACCTCACCAACTTTGCCATCCTCATGCAGGTGGTCCCGCTGGAGGTGAGTGGCCTGGAGCTCAGGCAGGGAATTTGGGTTGGGGGCTGGGTGCTGGCGGCCCAGTCCCTGGGTCCCTCTGGCCTGGGTGCCCAGTCTGCTCGTGTCCTGGGAGGGGCCGGGCCACTGTCACCGGACTGAAGGGACAATCGGGGACAGTGGCCCCAGGGGGCCATCGGCACACGGAGACAGCCGTGGTGGGGACAGGGACCCCAGGTCATGGTGTGCTGAGAACTGAGGGCCCAGGGGAGGGGAGGGGCCGCGTGGGAGCGACCTGCCTTCTCACAGGGAGGGGGAGGGGCTGCACCCTGGAATCCAAGGTGAGTTCGTGACTACTGCTCAACAGTAATCTGTCACTGCTCAACAGCGATGACACCGGATTTAGGCAGTCTGGGTGTCATCGTGGGAGTGGATCACATCTGTTCACTGCCAGAAGGGGTGGATTTGAAAAATGGTTTAAAATTACCCCTGCTAAAAATGCACATCCTCATGAACACTGGAGAAATTAAGGCAGAATTCCTAAGCAGATAGCGATCCCGTGCACACTCACAGCGGCCTCCTCCTCTCCAGGCCGAGCCCATGTCTTTCCTGGGCTCTGAGCAGGTCCTGGGCCAAGGGTCCGGCTTCTGTCCTGGGAGCTCAGCCCCTCATGCCTGTTTCCCCTCTGGAGTTCCCTCCTTCCTCCTGGCCCCCGAAGAGGGTGGGGTTCACCTGAGTGGGGCTCAGACAGGTGGGCTGGGGCTGGGAGGGGGGTTCCGGGATGCTTTCCAGGGAGGAGAGCTCAGGGAGCTCCCAGGAGGCCCTTGCTGGGACGAGGCTCCGTGTGCCCCCTGTGAGCTGTGCTCCACGCAGGGCTGGGGCTGCAGCGACCTCAGGGCCCAGAGTGGGAAGGCAGTGCCCGGGGACCCAACCAAGGAGGCCAGATGAGTCCATCGGCAGCTGGAAGAGGGGTTTTCCAGCCAGCTCAGGTGTGCTGGGTTCAAGAGCTCTGCCCGTGGCAGTGGCCAAGTTGGTCTCCGGGAGCTGCAGGTCACCCAGCGAGTGCTGGCTTGGCCAGTGGGGTGACCCAGGCCCACAGGAGCGGGGTTTTGGTCCTGTCTAAGGGTGGCCAACAGGGGCACCGGGGCAAGGCTGGGGAACCTGGTGTGACAGGGGCCCCTGCTGTGGGCTGCCCCACCAGGGTGGAAGGGAAGGGCCAGGTGCTGCTGCCAGCACAGGAGAGGAGGGATTTCCCTGAGCCTGTGCAGGAGGCCGGAGTAGTGGGTCCTGGGAGCAGGGAGGGCAGGGGGCTGGGGTGTGCGGTCACCCGGAGGCCCCTGGGCCACCCCAGCGAGCTTCGGCCCGCCGCCTTGGTCTGTGCCGCCACCCAGAGCTCAAGGGGCAGGGAAGAAAGGGCCGTGCTCAGGATGGCACCTAGAGAAGGGCCCAGGGGGTGGTGCTGGGCTGGCAGGGCACGCCTCACCTGCCCCTTCCTGCCATGGACCTCTCTGCAGCCACTGGGGTTGAGCATTGCCCTCCTGCCCCTGGGCACAGCATCTGCCCTGTGCCCTGTGGGGTAGGTACAGGAGCCTTTGCCAGGACGGGGCCCCTGGGAAAGGGGATCCAGGAAACCCTTGTGCCTGGCAGCCACCAGGCAGAGCACTGGGGTGGGGCAGTCACTGCCTGAGGCCTGCACTCCAGCCCGTGCTGCATGCTGAGCAGGGGCTGCGCCCTGCACCATGTCAGCCTCACCGGGCCTCAACTCCAGGAAGACACTGCCCTGAGGACACCAGCAGAGTTGCTGAGGGACACAGGCCAAGTGCCCCGTGGGCCTCTCTGGGCAGTTTGTGTCTAGGGCCCTGGTGGCATCTGTGGCCTGTGACTCAGAAGCAAACCCTGCTTTTGCTGATGGTTTCTAAATGTGGCCAGGGTGGGAAGGGCAGGGCAGGGCAGGGCAGGGCAGGGCACACCCTGGGACGAGAGCATGTGTGCACTTGTGATTTGTGTGTGTGTGTGTGTGTGTGTGTGCGCACCTGCAGGCAGGGCCCAGCCCACCCTGGCCCTCGGTGGCACAGCCAGGTGCGGCTCCAGCATCATGCTGCCCCAGTGGGCACGCCTGGGTGCAGGCCCAGCAGTCCCGCCAGCCTGCTGAGGGCACCGTGTGAGCTGCCTGCGCTCATGGCCCTGGAGCAGCTCAGGCCTCGCTGGCATCCCCGGGCTGTGGGTGGATGAGTGAGGACCTCAGGGAAGCCAAGTAGCTCTGTCCCCACCCTGAGGTTCAGAGTGGGCAGCGTGAGGTGCAGGTGTGGGTGGTTGGGACATGGGTCCTCCAGCCTGCCGTTCAGGGAGCCAGGCCTCCGTGTGCTGGGGAGGGAGAGGTGCTCCTCAGCCACTGGCAGGCTGGCGACCAAGCAGGGCCGCCTCGGGTCGTTTGTAAAGGCTCAGAACCAGCGCCCAGCCCCAGGCACGGTGATTTCTTCACCTGCCAGACAGGCGGGGTCATCTGCTAGGACGGGCGCAGCTGGGGCCTGAGCCTGGCTTCTGGCCCTGGACCCTGCCTGGTTGGAGACAGAGGGATGCAGGTCAGGCAGCGGCTGTGCGAGTCTAGGCGATCGGTAGAGACTCGGAGCAGCCCGGATGCCCGGCCCTGGCTGGAGCCTAGCACTGGGCATCTGCGGGGGCAGCAGCGGGTGCGGGCGGAAGGGCGAGTGGGCTCGGACCCTCGGCCACCTCCACCCAGGCCTCTCCGCTCCCACAGCTCCCGCGGGGACACCAGGTGGCGCTGTCCTCCATCAGTTATGTCGGCTGCACGCTGTCCGTGCTCTGCCTGGCGGCTACGCTGGTCACCTTCGCTGTGCTGTCGTGAGTCGCTCCTGCCCCGGCCCCGCTGTCCCTTCATTCCAGACCCGGGGTGCAGGGCTGGGGCTGCCGGGTGGAGGAAAGACCCAGTGCCATAGGGTGCCGGGCTGCAGCCAAGCTGGAAAGGCCTGCAAAGTCCTGGGCCAGAGGACGTGGTTCCTCTGACCGGCCTAACTGTGCCCTTGGGTGGGGGCCGGTCAACGCCAGGTAGACCAGAGCGGGGACAGTGTGGTCACACAGTGGCCATGCCACGTTCGGGACCCAGGACAGGACCCCTGGAGGGCAGGTGAGAGACCCTGAGGCAGGGGTGACTAAGAAACAGAAAATAAGCCAGGTGTGGTGACTCATGCCTGTGATCCCAGCACTCTAGGAGGCTGAGGCAGGAGGATCCCAAGTTCCAGGCTGGGCTGGGCAACTTAGTGACTTAGCGAGAGTCTGTCTCAAAATAAAATGGGCTGGGGATGCAGCTCTGTGCAAAGACCCTGGGTTTAATCTGCAGTGCTGAAGATAAAGAGAAGCTGAAGAGGGCAGAGCAGTTAGGGAAGGGCAGAGCCAGGCAACAGCAGGTGGGGGCAGACCTCACGGGGCCCTGAGCCTGGAGGGCCTGGCATCATAGCAGGGAGCCGCTGAGGGGCTGTGGGGACCAGCACCGGCCTCACCCCACTACACCCGCAGCTCTGTCAGCACCATCCGGAACCAGCGGTACCACATCCACGCCAACCTGTCCTGCGCTGTGCTGGTGGCCCAGGTCCTCCTGCTCGTCAGCTTCCACGCAGAGCCGGGCACGGTGAGCACTGCCTGCACCCTCTGCTTGGCTCAGGCCGGCGCTGCAGGAGCAGGAAGATGCTTCCCAGGGCACAGCGCAGCCAGGGGCTGCCTGGAGTCACATCTGGACCCCGCGACTGGGCGGCGGGTCGGAGCCCTGACCCCGGGGAGGAAACGAGGGCCCAGGAAGTGGGTGGTAGGAGGGTGAGGCAGCAGCAGAGCACACGGCACCGGGCCCTCACCTGTGTCCCCACTGGCCCAGGTCCCCTGCCAGGTGCTGGCCACGCTGCTGCATTACTTCTTCCTGAGCACCTTCGCCTGGATGCTGGTGGAGGGGCTGCACCTGTACAGCCTGGTGATCAAGGTGTTCGGGTCAGAGGGGAGCAAGCACCTCTACTACTATGGCATAGGATGGGGTAGGTGGCGGGCTGGCAGGGAGGGAGGTGGGGCACGGGGACTGGCAGGGAGCCCTGCTACTGCAGCAAAATCTCCTGTCACTCAGAAGGAAACGCTCCTGAAACCCCTAACTTGGTTGATCATTTTGGCGATTTTTTAAAAGAACCAACTTTTTGTTTTTTGATTCTCCTGTTGTTTTGCTTTTTCTTGGTCTTTCTGAGATGGGCTCTTGCTGTGTAGTGCAGCCTGGCCTGCCTTAGCCTCCGGAGTGCTAGGATTACTAGTGTGCGCCACCACACCCAGCCTTCCTGTCCTTCTTCTGTGGCCTAGTGCATTAACTTCTGCTCCAGGCTTTATTATTTCCTCCGCTGCTCACCTCCGATTTCCCAACTGTGTCTGTCGCACCCTCCAGGGAGGACTCAGGTCCCCATGGCGTCTGTTCTTTTGCCTGGCGCAGGCAGGTGTGTCTGCCTGTGTCACTGCTTTAGGACCTGTGTGTTTTGTTTTAAGATCTTTTTTTTTTTTTTTGGTACTGGGGATCGAACTCGAGACCTTGCTCTTGCGAGGCAGGTGGCGGAACCACTGAGCTAAATCCCCGGCCCTGGACCTGCGTGTTTTGTGTGTCCTCATTTTCCTTCGTCCAGAAGTGTTTTCTGATTTCTTCCCTGGCCCTGATCTCTTCTCTCTATGCTGTGTTGACCCAGGACTCTCGCATTCTCCTTGTACTGTTGCTGCTTTCCTCCTGCCCGCTATGGGATGATTTGCAGGACTCTGGTCCTCTTGAAGGTGCTAAGGTTTGCTTTGTGGGCTGGTGAAGCTTGGCCCTGGGAGACGCCCACCTGCCCGGAAGAGCCACACTGCCCTGTCGCTGGGTGGGGTGCCGGGCTTCCATGGCCTGGTCGCTGTGTCGTGTGCTCTGGCTCTGCTGTTACTGTTACCGAGCGCGAGGCCTCGCTCCTACTCCTGCTCCTCACTCGCATCTGCCCCTCCCTCAGCTCTGCTGCCTGTTTCGTGCCTCGGCGTCAGCGCTGTCAGATGCACAGACCTGCGCACATCCGTCCTTCTGATGCCCTGACCCTCTTGTGGTGACAAACGTCTCTCGGGCCCGTGGCGTCCTCCATCAGAGTCACTACTCGGTCGCATGCGGCTGCTGCTTGCGGGGTCTTCCCACCTGGGCATGTGCTGGGGTCTAGTGCGTCTTCCGAGGACAGGCTGGGGTCGGTCTTGCTTTGCAGTTGGGTCTGACAGTTGTCTGCTTCACCCTGACACAGTGGGCGTTTGGACTTGGGTGGTTTATGTCCACAGTTTCCTCTTGGTTTTCAGTATACGTCTTACCCATTTCTTCCTCTGTTCCCCTTTTGCTGCCTTCTTGGGAATTAAATAAGTATTTTCTGGTGTAATCCTTTAATGGCTCATAGTGAAATGACCTTTTCACTGTATTTTTGAGTTCTGTTTTTGTTAATTGTGCTAGTGCTCACAGTGTCCATCTTAGTCTATTACATCCATTGTAGACGAAGCTACGGTGGGATAGGGAAATGCTACCCTCGTCTGGCCCTGCCACGTCTCCCTTCTCTCTGTGATTTCATCTGTCACGCCTGTGGTGTCCGGCCAGGAGCGGCTGCTGCAGCAACCCCCTCGCTCACCCTCGGCTGTCTGTAAAGGAGCGGAGGCCCGGAGAGACTGGCACCCCATGGGTCTGTGGCCCTGGCTTCTCCAGGCTCGTCTCTGGCCCCGTTGCTCCCCCTGTGACCTCGGGTGGCCCCTGGCCTTACTCCACTCCCTGGCACGGCTTTGCCTCCACCACCTGCTTTGTACCTTGTTGGGAGACACACTTCCTCTCTGGCTGTTACGGGCCCAACAATGCAAGCCCGTTACTTCGAAACTCATCAGGGAAAAGAACAGAAGCACGTGCGTTTGCTCAGTGCCCTGCAATTCCATAATCTCCTTCACCACCGAGGCGTGTGTGAGTGTACGTGCGCGTGTGTGTGTACATGTGTGTGTTAGGACTGTCTGGGGCTCTCGCGAAGCTTTCGTTTCCCTTACTGCATGTTTCAACCCCAAATTCCCATGTGGCCTTGTTTGTTCCTTCTAAGGAGATGTCCAGCCCCTCACTGATGTGGGGACCCTGTCGCCAGGCGCTTGCTCCTTTCCCGGGGGCCTGTTTGGCCCCTGGGACGCAGCATTGCATGGTGCCGAGTCTTTTGTGAAGTCCGCCAGGCCCTCTCCCGGTGCTCTCTGCTGCCTGCCTGCCCTGCGTGTTCGTCACACTCCTGTGATCTCCTTGAAGGCTGCATTTGGACCACACGCAGCAGGAGCTCTGGTCCTGGTCCTCTGGGCGGGGGCCGTGTTTACTGAGCACAGCCCCGGGGTGCAGAGGCTTTGGCCTGCTAGCCGGCCCTGCCTTCCCCTGGCAGCTGGTGCCCCAGTGGTTGCCGGAGCCCCGCCCCACTGCAGTCTGCTCGCCTCTTCTCCCCAGGGTGGGTAGCCTGTGTTCTCTCGGGCGCCAGCTACTGCTGGGCTCCTCTCTGAGCATGCGTAGACCTGGCTTCCCTCGCTCTTCCAGGATGAGGGATGGGGACCCCATGATGACCTCGGGCCAGAGCTGGTGCAGTGGGTGGAGCTGGTGTCACCTCACGCATTGCGGGCTCTGTTGTGTGCAGGAAGGCCTGGGCGTGACCAGTGTGTTGAGTCTCTGTGGCCTCCCCGGTGCCCTGCGGAGTGGCTGTGCCCTGGGTCTGGAAGTCGGGCGCTGGCCACTTGTGCTGGGAGCCTGGGGCCAGGTCGTGTTGCCCATGTTGGGCTGGGTGCCACCTGAAGTTCTTGTGCTTGTTACAAAACCCCAACCAGGGCGGGGACCTGTGTTGGTGCCAGGAGTAGACTCCACCCCTTATGGTGAGTGTGAGTCAGTATGTGTGATTTATGTGCGGATGCAGCAGAGGTGTGACACCTCCCTCGGGGCTGCCCAGGGCACCCTTGGGCGAGCTCAGGAGGCCCCAGGGCCAGTGCGCTCTGCTGTCCACCCAGGAGCCCGGCTCCCTCCTGCCCCCCGAGAGGAGGGTGGATTCCGGTGTGGTTAGTGAGGCAGAGCAGGCAGAGTGGCCAGCACGTACCGCTTACTAGGTCCACGAGAAGGTAGTCATGCACTCTGGAGGCACAGTGTGCACACGCACACACGCTCACACGCACACATTGAGCCTCCTCAGTCAGTTCCCAGGAACAAGAGTTTGTGGGATGCTTTGCTGGGGGAGGATCCTGGGGAATGAGCCTGCCACCTCCATGATGGATGTGCGCCTACGTGTGAGGATGTGTGTGCTCACGGGTGTGTGATACGATGAGTGTGAGTGTGAATGTGTGGCACCACAGGTGTGAGTGTGCATGAGTGGTCTGGGTGAGGAAGTGTGTGGTAATCCAGGGGATCCGGCCTGGACGATGTCTTCTGCGAGCTGCACAGTATTGAGGAACTGAGTTGTTTGTCAGGACTTAAATCAAGGAGCCGTGGGTGGGTTCCTGGAACCGTTAGTCTGGTTCTGACCGGGACCCGTGTGGCCCCTGCGGTGCTGAGCCTGGGCCCCACACAAGCTCCGCGCGTGGAGCGGGGATGCTGTGAGGCCGGCCTCCGCCCATCTGCTCTCATGCTCCTGTAACTTACGCCGCTGGGGTCCCTGACTCCGGAGGGCTGGGCTCCCCTCCTGCCCCAGCAGAGCACAGCACGAGAAAGTACCTGAGGGCCAGCTGCCCTCGGTAGGTGACCAGAATGACAGAGGTCCCCACGAAGGGCTAGCTCCTGGCCACCAGCCCGGCTGCCCCTCCAGAGCCCAAGGCACCCCGAGTGTGGCTTTGTGCCCTGATGTCCGGGGAGCATTTAACCCTCTCACGTGTGGAGCAGTGTTCCGGGCAGGACCGAGGCCTCCTTCCAGGGTGACTGATCGCAGACCGAGGCCGAGCCAACCCCTCCTCACTCCAGGGATCCGGGAAGCACAGTTCCTCGCCCAGGGCTGCCCTCAAGGTGGAGCGGGTCTCTCTGCCCACTCCCTGCACGGGGCAGAGGACAGAGGGCAGAGGGCAGGGGGTGGGGGCGCAGTCCAGGGCACCGTGCAGGGCTCTGCCTCACGGACTGGATGTGGCGGTGGCAGTGCTCTTCCAGAACAATCGGCAATGGCTGGGCCTGGGCAGGGCTTGAGCCTCTCTGCCTTCAGAGATGCTTCCGCAGACCCCAGCCCCGGGTGCGGTGCCACCAGGTCCTGCAGGGTTCAGAGCCTCTAGATGGAGATTGCTAAAAATGTTTTTAAGAGATTTAGGTTTGTGTCAGTACAGATTCTCAATCTGTAATGATTACGTTCTTCACGGGGAGCTGGCACATGAACACAGCACACCCTGATGTGTTTGTGTCCCTTCCCCTCTAGAAAGAGCGGAGCCCAGAATCCCTGCTCTTCAGACCCGAAGCCCTGAGGACTGCTGGTCCTGGGGTTTTTCTGTATTCCAGACCTTTGTTGTCCTGCAGCCTCCCAAGTAGGTCTGACACCACCCTGTAAAGCGGCCAGAACATTTAATTACTCACAGTCAGTCTTAAGCCACAGAAATCCACCTTGAGCTGGCTCCCGGGAAAAGCCCACTTCATAACTCAAGTGATGACAAAGGGCCTCAGGGACGGCTCGGTCACGGCTCACACGGCACAGTCACGCCCACTTTCCCCAACTTCTGGTCACAGCCCTGGGCCCAGGGCAGTGCCAGGCAGCTGTGGCCCTGGCCTGCTAACACCCTTACCAACCAGGAGCCCAGCGGGAAGACAGCAGTTGAGGAAGTTCCTGGCCGGTCTCTCCTGGACAGAACCGCTGTGGCTGGGGACTGGATGTTCGGGAGCCATCCTGGGTCACAGCCTCTAGATCCAGGAAGGGCCAGGCCAGGGCCCGGGGCCCATAGATGGGGGGCTGTTGGCTCATGGAGGATTCTGCCTCGGACAGGGCAGCCCGGCCTGCCCGGCCAATGCGTCCCAGCTCCCTCCTTCCCTGCAGCTTGGGGGTCCTCCTGGGGGCCCTCCTGGGGGCCCTCCTCGGGGCAGTGTGTGCAGTCGGTCCCCACAGGTCCCGGGGCTCCGCCCGTCAGGATGACATCACCACGGGTGCCTGTGGGCCAGTGCGACCTGGCTGAGTGCATGTGTGAATATGCATGGCCTCTGTGATCTGTAAGTGTGTGTGGCTGCCTGTCTGAGCTGCCCAGCCGAGTTCCCTGTGCGGCCGTGTCCAGTCACGGCGAGGTGGGAGCACAGGGTGGGCAGCGTGTGACTCCTGCCCTCCCTGCAGGCCTCCCTCTGGTCATCTGTGTCGTCTCCATCTCCTTCGCCATGGACAGTTACGGGACAAGTGACAAGTAAGTGGGTTCCCGGGGTCTGGGAGGCGCCGAGCCAGGTGCTGTCTGTCCGTAGCTCTCCTGGACCTTGCTCGGCCAGGAAGCACAGGGGTGCGTGGTGCACGCATGTGCACGTGCGTGTGGCCGTGTGCACAGTGGGTGGCTCGCTTGCTGGCTCAGTGAGGAAGCTGGGCGTGTGCGCCCAGACCTGCCCGAGACTCCTCATTACCAGTCCCTTCCCGAGCCTGTCAGCAGCTAGGACCTCAAGGCGATGGTGCCTTCAGGGGACATTGTTTCCCAGCCAGAGTGGGGCAGACAGGCACCTGTGCCGATTCAGCTTCCCCACATGCAGCCCGGGAGTCACCGGTGCAGAGGGCAGATCGGGTGATGGAGGGACGCTTTGCCGTGTGGCGCGCAGGCCTCCCACTCGGGCTCGGGGGACACAGCAGCCTGTATGCCTGCCAGGACCGGCACCGCTGGCGGATCCCAGGAAACCTGCTGGGCTCTCAGAGCACTCAGTGCCCAGGACTCAGCAGGCGACTTGTCCCCGGGCCTCGGGTACTGGGCCACATGGAATTGCAGGGGAGCTGGCTTTCTCGCCTAGTTCCAGGGCCATGTCTTGAGGCCGGGGACCTCCACAGCCTCAGACTGTACCCCGCATCCCAGGGTGCTGCTCGCCAGGGCAGGGGCGGTGGCTGAGGACACACCTGGGTGGGGACAGGTCGCTGAGTAACGCTCTGCTTCCCCACAGCTGCTGGCTGTCGCTGGGCACAGGCGCCATCTGGGCCTTTGTGGGCCCCGCCCTGCTGGTCATCGTGGTAGGTGCTCGCAGGCATGGGGCTGGACGAGGAGGGCAGAAGGGGCACGCTGTCCCCACTGTAGCCCCTTCTGGGAGAGGCCAATGCCCCAGGGCCAGGCCACAAAGAACGCAGTGAGGTCGCTTGGGTGGAAATGGAAATTATACTAAAGCACAAATTTGCAGAAAAAGTCTTAACTGGAGCATGAGAGAGGAGCCAGGAGAGCACTTGGCTTCACTGGTGGGGGCCACTCTGACACGGTGCAGACCCCAGCCGGAGGCCCAGGCCAGCTCACAGGGACGAGTCGGGTGGGTCCGGTTGTCACTTTCCGGCCTGGTGTCCCAGCTCTGGAATCTCTGTCTGGGGGCCTCAGGCACACAGGCTCCACCCATCCTGGAATCCCGGGGACCACAGGCTGGGGACAGTGGTGGAGGCTGCTGGTGTAGCTGGGTGTCCCTGTGAGCCCTGGCCTGGTGCCCTCGGTCTCGAGGGCCACTATCTTGTGAGCTTAGGGGGATCCCCTGTCCTCCCGGCCCTTAGACGACACCCCGAGTGACCTGTGCCCCATCAGGGCTGGGAGGAGAGCCGACCCGGAGTTTACAGTCACAGAGGGCACCACGTCAAGGTGGAGCCCTGCTCTGCTCTGTTACCGCTGGGCACCTGAAACCCAGGGAAGAGTCACGTTCACAGCAAAAATGGCTTTTAAGTCCCCAGCCATGCAGATGAAGCAAATCCTGCTGGTGGTGAGCAGCAGGAAGCACCGGACTCCTGCCTGTCCCCGCCCTAGGGTGGCCCCAGCTGTGACACAACTGTGTCATCAACACCTGTTGACGAATTTAACTTGCTGTTGTTCTGGCAACATTCCCAGGCTGGAGTCGAATCCTTTCTGGTGGGCCACCTGGAGTATCTGACCATCACAGACTGCTCACTGAGGCCAGGGGAGAGGGGTGCTCTGATTGGCTAGCTGGGACTGCGACTGGAGGAGAAGGGTGCTCTGATTGGCTATCTGTAACAGACTGGAGAAGAGAGGTGGTCTGATTATCTTGCTCTGACTGAGACTAGAGGAGAGAGGCACTCTGATTGGGCAGTCCTCGTTTTGGCTGGAGGAAAAGGCTGCTCTGACTGGCCAGGCTTGGGTATAGCTCTAACCTTGGGGCTAGAGTGGGCAGAGTCCACCGTGCCCTGGAGTGGAGACAAGTGTGGGAGATGCGGCTCCCTGGGGACCCAGTGCTGTCACTGAGGAGGAAAACGTGGGCTTGGCAGGGGCAGTCTTGCTTCTGTCCCATCTGGACCTTGGAGGACCAAGTGTTGGGCCCTGACCTCCTGCAGCCTCACACGGTCCCCGACACGGTCACTGGGGTCTGACAGTGGGGCTGTTCGGCCCCAAGGGACCTTCGGCAGCCAAGGTGACAGCAGTTTCGAGCCGAGTCCCTGTGGCCTCCGCGTGACTCCAATGACATTGCAGGAATAAGGGCTCCACTTAGGGGGCGTCCTCCTCCCAGACACCAAGGTGCTGTCACAGCGATGTCCCCTCCCTGCCCCTGCCCTCCGCTGTCTCTGGCTGCTTGAGCAGTGCTGTCTTAGTCAGCTGTGTGCTGCTACAACAGGACACCTGAGACCCTGTGGTCAGGTGATTTATGATGAGCGGAGAGTTATTTCTCACTGTCCTGGGCCTTGGAGGTCCATGGTCAAGGCGCCGCATCGGGAAGGGCGTCTGTGTGTCCACACTGAGTGTGGAGCCCCCATGGCCTGGTCACCCTTCCAAGGTCCCCGCTGGGGACAGTTCTGGTGGCCATTGGGTTTCAGCTTGAGGGAGGACAGACTTTAAAACCACGGTAGGTGGTGCCTCGTTTCACAGAGGGGCAAAACCCTAATCTGGGATCTGGAGCTCAGCGCACCTCACAGGGCCTCTGCGAGGGCTCATGTCTGCCCTGCTTGCAGGTTCTGGCAGCCTGGGCTCCAGGTGGAGGGGCGTCCCCAAGGGGAGTGCAGGGCTCATTCTGATTGGCTGCCGTGGGTGCAATGTGGTTGTCTGATTGGTCAGGACTGCATCACCTGACCCATGTGAGGTCAGCCCTCTGACCCCAAGTCGGACCAGTGGGGGTGCTGTCAGGAGGAGTGGAGGCTTTGAGAGCCAGGCATTCCCAGGTGGGCATCGGCCTGACCTCCTTGGGGCTGCCTGTGGCCAGTGCAGAGGACACAGGGGCCCTGTGGGGCCCTCACTGTCCCTCACCAGAGCTCCCATCCCTGGTCCCTTTTCTCTGCCTGTTCCCTCTCAAAAATCAGCGACTTAGGGCTGCCATAGTCCTGGGCCATGTCACGGGCAGGCAGGGTGTCACTGTTGTCCCCAACTGAGGCATCACACACACTTTGTGCAGTGGGTCTGGCCAACTGCCTGAGGCCTCGGGAGTTCAGGAGGGGACAGCTGGCCTGGAAGGTGTCCCCTGCCTCCCCTGGCAGTGGACGTTTGAATCCACAGACGTGTCCCCAGTGCCCTCGAGCTGGGCCCCATCCGCCGACCGGCTGCCTCTACAGCAAGGTTCTTCTTGGGCCTAGGGAACCCCTGCCGTGGGTGACACTGCCAGAGACATGTGGGCCCTCAGTGTCCTCATCCTTGGCCTCCCCGACAGGGTGTCCAGCCCATGAGGTGACAGCATGGGCTGTCCCCAGCGCCCCGAGGACACGGCAGGCTCTACACCAGATGAAGGCTGCTGGTGCCCTGGGGACGAGCCCTTGGGGTGGCACCGACGCCCCCATATTCCACACCCTCTCTGACCCAGCCTTCACCCCACCTCCTGCCCTCCCCCAGCGTCCATCTGAAGCCCCCCTGAGGGTCCCCGTTGGTGGCACCACGGGGATCGTGGGCCCAGTGGTTAATTAGGGATGAGCCCCAGGGAGACGCTGAAAGGCTGGGTTTGTTCCTTGGTCATTGAAATTCTGCTCAGTCCCCCCTGCCACTCGAGGACCGCAGTGTCTTCTTGGGTGAACAGTGAGGGGCCGTGGTGGCCGGCGTCCTCATCACTGCTGCCCGGAACGGGCGGTGGTGCCACCCTCGTGTGACCTCGCCATAGCAGTATCCAGTTAGTCTCCTCCCGACCCCGGGGCACGCTGAGCCCATCACAGGGAGTGAGTCTCAAGTCATTTTTCTTTTATTTTGGGACTGCTTAAAATTGAAATTTAGTTAGGTAACTTGGCTTTTGAATTTTTAACACATGTGCTTCAAAGACTTAAAAGAGAACCTTGAGAACATAGGAGACGCATGAATGTATGAGGAGCCTGCCGGCACCTGCTTCTGCACTCCCTGGTCTCTGCCTCCCTGAGGAGGTGCCCAGCTGCTGGCGCCTGCTCCCCAGGGCTTCCCTGCAGTGGTGGCAGCTGTGCCACCTTCACCTGAGTGAGCAGGGGGCTCTGGCCTGGAAGGTGAACCCCAAAGGTGAAGGGGCGGGGCTTGCAGACCGGTTGGGGGCGGTGTGAGGACCTTGCCAAGTCTCCCCCAAATGGGGAAACTGCTGGAAGAGTTACTCAGAAAAAATTTGAGTGTTCTGAAACAAACCAAAGGGGAACTAACTGCAAGGCCTTTTGTTTCCCCGTAAAACCTCTCAAGCCTCAGGGCCAGGGTGCTTTTGACTCAGGTGCCCAGCCCCTCCTGTGGGCACAGCGGCGGGGTGGCTTCCGCTCCGGCCCCTGGAAGCAGCAGCTCACACTGTGACCTCCCTTGGGTCGCCGTCCACCTGGGGGATGTGACTGCATTTGGAAGCCAATAACTGGGCCCCCACGCTGCCCCTCCCCCATGCTGCAGCCTGGGGCTCTGCTGTCACTGTCACAGTCCCCGGCCGGGGCGCTGTATTGTGGGGACGCAGTCCTGGGGCCGCTGCGCTGGCTCCTCGTCCACTCGCCTTGAGAGCTATCTGTCATCACTTCACAGACAGGAAACGAGGGCAGTGAGGTGGGTGGGAGTCTGGGTGGACAGCGACAGCCACACCTTCGTGCTGGCCCACACTGTCCCACTGCCGGGGAAGCGGGGGCTGCAGGGGAAGGGTGCTGGCGCTGAGTCCGCGCAGGAAGGCGTCCTGCAGGCCCAAATGAGGCCATCTCAGCAGACTGCTTTGGGGAGGCCGGGTCAGCCACCGGGGTTGGCAGTGCAGACGCAGGCACACGGCTAGAGGGGGCATCTGGACTGCCAGGCCCCAGGGACTGGGCTCACACTGGCTCACACTGCGGCGGGCCCAGCCAGCAGCCATCCCACTGGCCGCATGGAGCCTGTGGGACTTGGGGCTGGGCTGAGAACCCCTCCGAGGCTTTTGGCCTAGAGCTGGCTCCCACCTGTCCAAGACCTCAGCACTTTTAGAATCAAGGCCGACCCCGGGCAGCACAGCCCTGCAGCAGAGGATACCAGGCCTCCCCGGACTCCCCTGCTGCCCCGCTGCCCCCATCCTGTGCCCCACCTTGCCCTCGGTGTTCAGGACCCTGGAGAGCAGCTGGGTGAGGGGCTGGCTTGTGCTACAACCTCTGCCAGAGACCCGTGTGACCCAGGCCAGTGGGTTCCCAGCCTTAGAGGGCACTGGGCAGTGAGGACGCCTGGGAGCACAGCCTGGACGAGGGCACTGCAGGGCCCGGGCTTTCCTGGACAGCTCGCGCTGCAGCCCCCTTGTGCAGTCACCGATGGGTCAGGGCTGGCAGGGCTGGGTGCAGGGCCAGGCTCGTGACCGGGAGTGAGTGCTCGAAGAGCCCCGACCGGCCCGCCTGACCCACAGCCACGCCCCCCCTCCCCACTGCCGCGAGGCAGAGCCAGGCTGGTGTCCGAGCAGGGAGGGCCGTGTGGCGCTGCTGGTCCCCGGCCCCCTCACCACTGCCCGTTCCTCCTCCGTGCAGGTCAATGTGGGCATCCTCATCGTGGTCACCAGAGTCATCTCCCAGATCAGTGCTGACAGCTGCAAGATTCATGGGGACCCCAGCACCTTCAAGTAGGTTGGCTGCGGGGAAGGGGTGTAGATTTGGAGGCCGACAGCCTGCGCCAGCCGCTCTTGCCCACCCTCTGCTGGACCCCGGCGTGAATCAGCCGCACAGTGTCCTTGCCACAGTGGGCATGGTGACAGGACCTCTGCACAGGAGAGAGGGGACTTCCTGCTACACTCTGGCCTGGCCACAAGGATGGAAGCAGGGACACGGGAGGCCCGGCCCACACAGCGTCCTGCTCTGCGCTTCTGGTTGGTGGCCCTGAAGGCCCAGCATGTAGGCACCGGGCCCCACAGTAGCCATGTGGTGACCCTGTCCCCAGGACATCTCTCTTCCTGTCGGCTTCAGGTCCAGATGGACACTGCCCTCCTGGTGACAGGGACTACAGGAGCTCGGTCCTTCGGGGCCCTCTTCCTCCTGTGGAGGACAGCGGAGCAGAACTCACCACAGCACCTGGGGCCCAAGTCTCACCGTCGCCCCAACACTGGACACCAGTGCACCCCAGGCTCAGGGCTGAGGGGCCGGGAGGCGGCTCCGTGCCAGGATCTGGGGGCCATAAACTGTGGACTTGAGGCTGTGACGTCCTGAGCGACTTCAGCTACAGTAGATCTTTTCTGATCTGAAAGCAAAAGGCATAAACAAGCCAGCTGGGATCGATGAGATAATTATTCCATAACGAATTCCAAACACTGTGAATTAACCCCGGGCGCTGCTGCCCTCCGGCCCTGCAGGCTGTGCCGAGGAAGAAGGAAGTGCACAGGGTGGAGCAGCCCTGTGACATGGGCCATGCTTCCCGCACCCTGGTGGCCAGCAAGGCCCCGGCCCCGCCCCGGGCCCCAGTGTCCTGGGAGCGCAGACTGCACCCCGTCCCCTCTGAGCGTCTGGGTGGCCACTCGGGCGGGAAGGGCACAGCGGCAGCGTCCATCCCCCCAGCTCCCTCTGGTCCCATGGTCGTCATGGGCGGTTGGTGACTCCCTGTGCCCAGCAGCTGTCAGTGGGTGACGGGAGGAGACTGCACAGGGCCGGCCCGGGCTGGCTCTCTCTTTAAAGTCCGAGGAAGAAGCAGAGAAGCTCGGGGTCCCTGAGGTGGGGCAGGGCGGGAGGGAGCGGCCCCGGAGCAGGGCGCCGAGCAGGGGACACCAGCTGACCCCAGGGCCTTGGGAGCCCGAGGGCCAGGCGAGGAGGGACGTGCGTCTGGGCCGTGGCCACCGGCCCTGGCTCCCCGAGGCCGGGCCCTGTCCTCTGTGGGTGACATGGCACAGGCCCAGCGTGGGGACAGAGCCCATAGGGAGCCCAACGTGCCCCCTCCACCTTCTGCCCTGGCTCCGTTTTCAAGAAGGGGCAAAGGGTTGCTGTGAAGCGGCCCCCGACCCCTTTGCCAGTGGCTCCTCCTGTGAGCCGTGGGCCCAGGTGCTCCTGTGTCCCGGGGACTCGAGAACAGGCTGCGGCTCCCTGAGATCTGGCGGTGGGACTGCTGTGGTGTACAGGGACCTGGCTTCCTACGGGCCGGTCCTTGGGGCGGCTGTCCTCCTCCGGGCGTGCCCGTCCTGGTTCACACAGCCGAGGCCCTGTCCTGAGGCCTCTGAGCCTGGCGGCCCTTCCTGTAGGGACACCCAGGCCTGTCCCCACCGCCTGCCCTGCCGACACCAGCATGCCCTTTGCTGCTTCTCTTCCAGGCTGACGGCCAAAGCTGTGGCCGTGCTGCTGCCCATCCTGGGGACCTCGTGGGCGTTCGGCGTGCTGGCCGTCAATGGCCAGGCCCTGGTCTTCCAGTACATGTTTGCGGTGCTCAACTCCCTACAGGTGAGCACATGCCACCACGAGCCTCTGCCGTCCTCACCAGGGCTGCATCCACAGGCGTGACAGCTGCTCCCTGTCAGGTCCCCTCGGGCCTACACAAGTGACAGGCTGTCCTGCTGCGCCCCACGTGCCTGCTGCTCTCCTGTGAGACCCTGTGCAGCCGGGCTGCCCCAGGTGGCTTTAGCCTGGAGATCTCCTCGTGTGGAGGGTGTACGGGTCTGGGACAGCAGTCGGGTGGCAGTGACACCCTTCTGTGTGTCCATCCTGTCACCAAAGCGCCCAGTCTGCCCATGGCTGCTGCCTGAGGCCCTCGGGTGGGGGTCAGTCTCCTGTTGGTCCCCGAAGTCCTGGGCCCCACCTGTCCCTGCGCTTGGAGCCAGCAGGAATCTGTGTCCCCACAGCAGCCCAGCTCTGTCAGATGACAGAGTGGGTCTGCGTGGACCCAGTCGGGATCCAGTGTCTCGGGGTCCTCCCAGTGGGCGAGCAGATGCTGCGGGGGCTGTGACTGCCGAGAGTCTGAGGCCGTGCACCTGGCCCTAATGCCGCTTCTCCCTTCTGCAGGGCGGCTTCATCTTCCTCTTCCACTGTCTCCTGAACTCTGAGGTAGGTGTACCCTTTCCGTGCAGTGCCTCGAGGGTCATCCTGCGGAGGCAGAGTGGGCAGTGCCGCCGCCGTGGCCCCTGCGGGAGGAGTTCAGCAGGAGCCCAGCCCTGCCATCCCGGGGGCCTGGGGCTTCCTGGGCCTCACCACAGAGCCAGCTCCTATGCATGGCAGTGCTGGCCCTTCCGGCCCTGCAGTCGCTCCTAATGGCTGTTTCCTCTTCCGAAGGTGAGAGCCGCCTTCAAGCACAAGACCAAGGTCTGGTCGCTTTCGAGCAGCTCAGCCCGCAACGTTGCCAGGAAGCCCCTCAGCTCGGACACTGTAAGTGCAGCTGGTGCCCTGTCAGGGCCCCTCCTGCCACCCAGGCCTGCTGGGTGCTCAGCCCGTTGTGCCCTGCCCCCGCCTCTGCCTCGCCCAGTCCGTCTGTCCTCCCGGCCGCTGCAGGCCCCCAGCAGCCAGAGCAGAGCTGTGGTGTCCTTCCCCCACCATTCAGCTCCTCACTGGGGGGACCCGCACTGTCACACTCCTGCCACCCCCTCAATTACTTGCTCCATGCATTTGCTTGCTGGCCACTATCACTGACTGGAATGCAGCCCCGGCCCCACAGCGCCTGGCACCATGTGCTCATCCAAGAAAGGCCCCAACACACGTGTGTGCAGAAGAACAGATGCACCTGGGTGTCCACCAGTGTGGGCTCAGGCGGGAGGGACATGGGGAGGGCTCCCTGTGGCTCTGATTGCTCTTGTCTCGGGGAGCAGGGGACCCCACTGCTGGTGCAGCTGCCAGGCTCTGGGGTCGAGCTCTTCCCCGGGAGTCAGATCTACGCCTCATGCTCTTTCCAGATGAACGGGACCCATCTGGGCTCGGCCTCCACCAGGCTGGGCCCCTGGGACAAGAGCAGCCACTCCGCCCAGCGTGTGGACCTGTCCTCCGTGTGAGGGCCCAGAGCGAGTGCACTCTCGTGTGGCGTGGGACACACGACCCTCTCCTGCCTGCCATCCCGTGGTCAAAGCCCCACCCAGGGCTGTGTGTGACACACAGGATGCGTGGCCCGTGGTGGTATGACCCTCCCATCCTGGGACGCTGTGACACCAACCGCAGCCCCTCCACGTCCACATGCAGAGTGCAGGAGCCCATGGGGCTGTGGCAGGGCAAGGTCTCCTCTGTCCCGGCTGTGTGAGGGGTCCTGGCCTCTGTGCATGCTGGACACTGGGCTGGCATCTCCGGCCACCCTCGTGAGGACGCTGGCCTTGTCCTCGGGACCGATGGCACCCCCTTGTGAAAACCACTGCCCACAGCCTGGGCTTTGGGCCATAGCAGGTGGCATGGTGGGGCAGCAGCCCGGCCCGCATCCCTTGAGCTTTGCCGTCTGGATGGAGGTCAGCTTAGGTCCCCTCCCAGCACCAGCCAGCCTCCCTTCCGGCCCCCCACAGCCCACTGCCTCCTTTGCATTCTTCTGAGCCCAGACTGCTGGTCCCCGGCCTGGCTGCCTGCAGAGTTGCTTCCCTGATGGCGGCAGGGAAAGGCTGGCCACCTCCCTCCCGTGAGGAGACCCCAGGTGGCTCTTGGGGGTGGGGGAGTGACACAGCCTGCTGTGTTGGGCTCAGACCCAGGCTGGGAAAGAGGGCGCTGTGATGACTTGGTGGGCACACGGATGCCGCGGGTGCTGGAGGGGCAGCACGGCCAGGACAGTCAGCTGGCGTCGGTGCTGGAAACCCCACTGAGCACTGTGACCGCCACCTCACTGCGTCCCTTGCTGGCCACACCTGCTTTGCTCCTGAGTGAAGTCTCACAGCTCTGTGGACATTTCCTGCCTGTCATCAGGGCCTCGTGCATGCCAGGCACGCGCTCCCCCGGGCTCACAGGCCCAGCATCCTCTGCACAGTGAGGAGGGGCTGCCCCAAGTGGGCAGGGCAGCGGCAGCTCCTGCAGGGTCAGCCTCTGCCCTCTGGCCACTGGACGGAGCCCTCCCTGTGCCCCGGGGAGCTGTAAGCAGGGCTGGCCCAGTGACACAGGCCCAGGCCACCCGAGAACCCGCCTCTGGCTGGGTCCCATGCGCAGCACCGGAGGGAGCCCGGTGCCCAGGTCACCCCTCAGCCCGAGCACCCACCCAGCGCCTCCCCACTCCCAGGCCTCGGTCCAGGTGGAGCCCTTCCTTCCCGCCCTCTTCCCACTCACCCTGTGAGCTCAGGCCCCACCCGCGATGAAGAACCCGTCAAAGCCCGAGGAAGAAGAAAACAAACGCCGGGCACCTGAGGTAGAGCAGGGAGACAGGGACCGCCCCCGCACCAGGGCACCCAGAAGAAGACACCAACAAACCACAAAGCCGAAAGAACCCGAGGGCCAAACGAGGAGAGACCAGCGGAAAGACCATGAACACCAACCAGGACGCACCAAGGCCGGACCCTGACCAAAGTAAATCACAGGGCACAGAAACAAAACAGGGACACACACCATAGGGAACAAAACGGCCCACCGCAACCCCACGCACACACGCCGAGCACAACAAGGCACAAAACGGCGAGGGGAACCGACCCCCGACCCCTGCCACACAGGCACCCACCACCAGCCGTAGACCAAACTCCCACCGTGGCCCACACACACAAGAACAAGCCCCAGCGCCCGAACATCGAGCCCCAGGACCACACAGCAGGACAGGGAACGAACCACCGACACAAAGGGCCCCCCAGCGCCTGTCCCCCCCAGGCCGGACACGGCACGGCTCACACAGCCGAGCACACAGCCCCAGCCCGAGGGCCAGGGAGAGCAAGAAAAACAAACACAAACCCGAGGGACCAGAAAGAAGAAACAAGCAGACAAAGGACACCCACAGCAAAAGACAAGAGAACCAAACGGAAACAGCGCCCAGCCATAGAGCCCAAACAGCCCAAACCACCAACTACAGAACGAGGCCTGTGACCAGACAGGACTGAAGCGACCCAGAAGACCTCACAGGTGGCAGCAGCCGCCAACAGTCCCCCAGAACTCCGGGGGGCAGCACTGCCCCCCCCGTGACAACCCCGAGGCGGGTCACCGTGCGGACAGGACCCCCCAACGCCCCCCCCAGAAGCACACCCCACCCAAACACCAGGACACACGACACCCAGAAGGGACCCAAGACCGCCCCCAGCACAGACGGAGCACCTGGACTCACCCCCCCTACGCCGCCGAACTCGACTGCTGCCCACGTGGGAACCAAGGACCCAAATCACGACCTCATGAGCACAAAGCAGGAACCGGAACCACCCAGCAAAATCACCACACCCTCGCTTACGCCGTCCTAACACTGCCCACACCTGAGGCCCAACAGGGGCCCCCACGAGAACCCCGGGGCGGACACTCAGACACAGAAGACCCCGCCACACGCAAACCTGAACCCCACCAACAACCCAACCCACCCCAGAACCGCATCCTGGGCTCCATCTGACACAAAGACACACCCAGCCCCGCGGTCACCACGCAGGGCACCCCCGGCGCCAGACCAGGTCCCAAAAATCCCCACAGCCAAGACCGCAACACGGTCACCCCAAGTGGCACCTCCACACGCCCCCCACAGCGCCCCAGCGAAGACACAGCAGCAGGACACACCCGCAGGCCGCATGTGCACTTCTAAAAAAACACCACCACAAGAGGAAAAACAGGGAAGAGAAATAATACACATGCAGGGCAACAGAACCCCTATCCACCCACAGGCAAAAAAAGAAACACAGAGAAAAGACAGCGGCAAGGGACCCAGCGGGGATGATGAGGCGGGCACCGGAGACAGGCACGGCTTGTGGTCCTGGAGGCCCAGCAGATCCAACCCACGCCAGTGACAGCGAAAGGAACGCGGCCTAACCACGCACCCAAACCCCCCGCTCCACAGCCTCCCCATATGCAACACACTCCTGGCTAAAAACCCAAGGACCAAATCCCACCAGGAGGAAGCACCAAGCCACCCGACACCTGCACGGAACAGCACCCGCCACACACCGCACGGGAACAAAAGAGCCCCTCTCACACCGCCCAGCACATCCAGGACCACCGGACACAGGCCAGACTCCCAACGCCTCCCTGCTTCGCAACCACCAGACCCTCCCACCATGCACACACGCCCTCCGCCCTGCCCCCGGCTGCCGCCCGGAAAAAACGGAGTGCCGAGCGGCAATGCTCGGAGAAAAAGGACCAAATCCCAACGCCCGGCGGAGCGCACCACGAAACAAAACACGCCCCGAACAGCCCCCCACACAGCCCTGAACTCCGAACGCCAACACCACCCCGTGCAAGAGGCCCTCCCAACTCCAACCACACGCCACGGCTCGGACCCGGCCCCGACAGCGAGCACCTGGGACCACAGCGAGGCACAACAGGCAGCCCGGCCCCAGCACACACCTCCCAACCACGGCAAGCCTAGCCGCGCCTTCTAAAAACAACCCCCGAATACAAAAGACAGGAAGCCATAGAAAAACGGACCAGGACCCGAAGGAAGCAAGAGTGCCCACAAACACCCCCAAGAGCCACCCGCGCCTGCCGAAGCCCAGGGAGCAGAAGGCCACCCGCACCGCCCCGCGCGGCAGGCTGAAAGGGAGGTGCGCCCACCACAACAAAGCGCAGCCAGCCGCAAAGGCAGCCCGGCACACTCCCCCACACAATCCCGCGCCCAGCGCCTACAACACGGCCACGAGGCAGGCCGCTCCAGGGCCCTGCACATCCGCTCCGGGAAGCAGCGGCGTCGCCCACCCTGCCGAGGTGCCTATACCTGCAACAGCGGGAGCCAACGCGGACCCGAAGTGCCACAACCTCCAATCACCACGCAGCACGGCCACCAACACCGGGCTGCGAGAAACGGACCGAGCCACACGCGCTCCTCGTAAAAACAGAAAGCAAGGGCCCTCAGACAGGTCAGCATCGCACATAGCATCGGAAAACACACCCCCCCCAAACAACAGTTGCACCGCCACAGGCTCCACCGAAAGGACCTGAACGAGACACAATGGGAAAAGCCAGAAACAATCCACGGCCGCGCAAGGGTGCGCGAATCAGAGGCCTGAGGTCGAAACGCAGGCGACCCCGGCACCAGACACGCCCCGCCACACAGACCGGCCAGCAGCCCTCCAGGGCGGGCCCCAAGGCACCCGAAACCCAGGCCCCCAGCCAGCAAGAGCCGCAGGACAACAAAGCCCGGGCTGGACACGCCCTGCGCCCATACCCCAGCCAAACACAGCACTGACCACAGAAGCCAGACACAGACAGAGCCAGGCAACCACGCAGTCCCCCACAGCAAGCCGGGACCACGGCCCACCTACCACGGGTGGCCATCAGACAAGGCCAGCCCAGCCACACGCCTCGGGACAAACTGAGACCCCACGTGGCAGACAAGAAGACAGTCCCACACCACACAGGGGCCTCACCACCCAACCTTCCATCCACAAAAACCACACGCCCCAAGAAGAAACCCGGGGCGCCGACACGGGGAAACCCTAGCAACAACACCCAGGCATTCAAACATCCAGACACCTCAAAACACCACCCCACCAAAAACGAAACACCCTGAAGAAACAAGCCCACTCACCAACTCGGCGTTCCAAACAGCAGACAATACAACCTCAAGCAAAAGCCACACGGGCGCAGTCACGGAGGCCACCCCCACCCCCGATCAAGAAACAAGGGGCAGACCATCCACGCAGGCACGCATGGACAGCCAGACATGCCCGGCCCACCAGAGCCCCGGGGCCCCTGTCAGACCAACCGCATCCCCTCCACACAGACGCAACGACCCAACCGGAACAACTCAATCATCACCACCAACCACTGCCCCTAGACCCACCCCAGAGCGCGGCACCCCACCCCTCCGTCTCCAGAAAACAAACCCCCCGGGAGAGAACACAACAGAGACACACAGCAAAAGGGCCAAAGGGCCACAGAAAACAGCCAAAGAACCACCACACAATCAACGCGGAGCCACACGGTGGCAAAACAAACACACCCCTAACGAAATGAAGGAAAAGGAGGCGCATCAAAGCACCCACCAGCCCCGCCACCCACCCCGCAAGACCCGACGAGCCCCGCCCCAGGCAAAACGGAACACAGACAGCAACTCGACCCACCACCAGCCCGCGACGACCCAGGCCAGGCACCAGCCCGGGCGCACAACCGACCAGAAATGTACCCACCACAAACACCAAAAGAGCAACAACGACAGCAAAACACAAGACTAGCAATACAGCGCCACAAAAACAGCAGAAAGGCCCAAGCTCGGGCGCAAAGCACAGCCCCGGAACCGACCCGTCCGCCTCCACAGCCCCAAGGACGAGCCCACCAAGCACCACAAACCTGCGAGACACACACAGCCGGGACAAGCCCTCACCGTGAGACAAACTCTCAGGAGCCCCAAGAAACACCATGCCAATGCACGTGCTGCCCCCAACATCGCAGCAGCACACACCCCGCACCTGGCCCGCAACGTCCATACGAAGCCCACACAAATCGGAACCACACCTCGGCTCCGGGGAAGAGGCGCGCACCCTGAAGGCAAAAAACAGACCCTCCGGCTGGAAAAAATGGAACAGGAAAGAGATGCACAGGCCATTCCAGCCAAGACTAATCGACCAGGCGCGGGGAACACGGAGCGGCCCGAACCCAAAGCCCGGGAATAATAAACTCAGAAGAGACTCGCAAGACAAAGACCAGAGACACCAGCGAGACAGAAGACAGCCTTTCCCGCGGCTCCCACTCGACCACCTGAAGCAAGCCACACCTGAACCACAGCCCGGAGCTGCCCGGACAGGGGGACTCACCACTCCCCAACGAAACGGTCTGCTCAAACCATCCTGACACTCAACCCGACAGACAGCTCCCGAAGACACAAAGAAACAAACACAGGCACGCAGACCCCACACAGAGGGGTGGCAAGCTCAAACACTCACCGCCATGGGCTGCCACCCACACCACGCTCCGCCCACTCCACCAGCCCAGGCCGGCACAAGCATAAGACAGCCGGGCTCACACACCCGCCCAAGCACCAGGACCCGCACGCCCCAGTCACAAAACACAAGCATGCAGCCTGGGAGGCAGCACTGAGCCACAGAGGCAGGGCCGCCCCAGGGCCCCACCACAGCCAGCGCTGACCATGAAAACGACCAGGACAGGCGGGGCCTGATGGCTGGTGCAGCCAAACAAACCAAAGGCTGCACACTCGGGAGCCAAGGGCCGGAACCACTGAGCCAAACCCCCCCACCGGACCTCCACACTCCTACCAAACAGCACGACCCCCACCGCCGCGGCCCAGCAGCAGCGAGCACTCCCGGGCAGCAAACGCGTCCAGCCCCAGCGAGGGGACGACGCCCACACGCCAGACCCACGACAGCCCCGCCCAGGCACACGGAGCTTGCCAAACACATAGACAAGGCACCACAGTTCCACGGCGAGCGAGCCAAGCCCAGGACGACAGCGTCAGGACGGCACCCTCGAGGAGCACCTAACCGGCATGGAGAAAAATCAAGAGACACGGACGCCCCCCTCCACAACACCCACGGGGGACTCCAAGAGGACCGGGGAAGAACAGAACACCAGGCAGCGCCCACCGCACGCAGGAACGAGGCCACGACCCGGGAGGAAGGGGACAAATGGGGGGCAAAAACCCCACAACGGACACCCCAACGACCCCCCTCCGACAAACAAAACACACAACCACAAACCGCCCAGCTCCCCCCACCCATACACACTGAACCAAATCACAACCCTGCGGCGAAAACCAGACCACAGAACGCGCAGCGAACACCGCTAAGAAACAAAAGACACGGACACCCCTGCAACCCCCCGGAGAGAGCAAAGCGAAAGAACACCACAGCGCGCACACAACACGCCCTGTCCACCAGAACTCCAATACACGAACAGATCTAAAGACAGCGAGCGCCATGCCCACCCACCACACAGCGCGGACCAGGGGGACACGCACACCCCAGAGGGAACAGCAGCCCCGGAAAGCCCCGCCCCAAGCACACACCAGCAGGGCAGCAAGAGCAGCCCAAGGAAGCACCAGGAGCGGCAAAACCACGCGCCCCGCACCGAACCGAGCAGGCCAGCCAGCGAGGCAAGGCAGGGGCCACACCAAAGCGCCACGGCACAGACAGCCCCACGCCAGGGCCCGGCCAAGACCACAGAGCTGAACCCGGCCCAAGGATACCGCCAGCCACCCCAAGAACACAAAACGTCGTGCAACCACACAAACACGCACATCCCTCTCGGCCATACCGCGCGCCAAGAACGACAGGAGGCCACACACCCCCAAAGGCCGAGGCACAACCCCCACCCGCCCCAAGCAACTACTCCAGGCAAACACGGCGAAACCGCCTCCAAAGCCCCACAGAGAGCGAGAACACCAACCCCCCCGGCCCGGAGCAAGAGCGAGAAGCTGACGCAACAGAGGAAGAAAAGAAACCGCACCAA